TTAGTACTTGTACTTTTACTTGTACTTTTTACTCGTTACTTTTTAAAATAAGAACTTTTTACTTTTTACTCGTTACTTTTTTTAAAAATACTTGTACTTTTACTCGTTACTTTTTAAAAGTAACGTTGCCATATATGATCACGATACCATTTTCTTAAAAAAAGGCTTATTTTTCGGAAAACCTTGTTGATGTTTTCGATTGACAAAACTAACAGAAATATCACGCAAGATACAAAGCTTCAATCAGTATTAGTCTTCAGATAGAGATTGTCTTCATATATATTATATTAACATCTTTAAATATTCTTAAAAATAATAATTTACTAATATACAAAAAATAAGTTTTAATTATGCAAACATTAATTAAATGTAATTAATATTTATTGATACAAAACCAAATAATGCCCCTCTCCCTTTCTTAAAGGTAAAAAAACTCATCTTAATGCACTCCTAAAATGAAATGAAACAGTTGAATTTATGAATGTTCTAATTTTAGTATGGTCTCTTACACTACTTCGTGTATTGTATACAATATATGATATTCGGTAACACTAAAATTTCCACAATATTTGATATTCGGTTACACTAATGTCTCCACAATATTTGATATTCGGTAACACTAAAGTCTCCACAAGATTTGATATTCGGTAACACTAAAGTCTCCACAATATATGATATTCGGTATTAACGGTAGAATTTTTGTTTTGTAGATGCATACTAATGTTTAAGACAACAGCATACATACGCCAACTCATATTTCAATTGTATAGAATTTCTTGGTGCATCGAAAGCGTTAGCGTTTCCAGAAGCAAAAATAATTCCCGTATGATGCGAATAAGTTTAATAACAAGCTTTTTTATTACGAGTGTTTAATTAAATTAAACGCGAAAAAATGTATATAAAAGCTCTATTTAGGATTCATTATAAGTAAATTGTTAATTCATACATTTTTTTTTTTAGTTTTTCAACGTCAGATTTAAAGATGTATTACACCAGTTCTTACAATGCAGTATTTAAAAAAAAAATTCAGAAATAATCTTGCAAGGGCAGTCCAGTTGGTGATATGTACAGACTTGTTTCGAGAAAAATTACAAATAATTAATAAATTTTCCCAAAAAATTCCCCTTTCTGCTTTAAGTTAAACTCATTATTAATTGTAAACTTTCTCCATTTTGGCTTTTTCCTCACTCATTATTAATTGTAAAATTTAATTAAAATTTTTCCATTTATTTTCTAAGTACATAATTTAGTTAAAAATTTGAATGTGTTTTTCTTTCGTTTTTTAACGATACATTTTCGTTCTCGTTATAAAAGGTATGATGAAGTAAAATACATGCTAAATAAAGTATTAATAGTACTTACCCAAACAAATGATAAACTTGATATGAGAATAAAAATAAGAAATTTCATTTTGTATGGTATCTAGTTGAACCTTCTCACGGTAGCTAATGCTTTTTTGTCAGAGAGGCGACCCATTTATATATATATTTATTTCGTGATGTTATATGCTATTTTGTAAGATTAGATATGTAATCTCTGTAATTCTTTAGTACCTCTATGAACGATACAATGATAAAAGTAAATATTCAATTAAGATAAAAAATTTCAGATCATGCAATACACTCACGTATTTAGTTTTTCAATCTTAGAAATCGTGATCTACAGTTTATAAGATAAAATTTATTTCCTGCGCTGGTAACGACTGGTAAAGTTGGTAACGTTGGTGGTTGATAACAAAAAATTTCATTTTTTGCTTTCTTA